AGTTAAATACTTAAACAATTGTAGTCTCTTAAACTATTAATGAATAATATAAATATAAATTAATATAAATTGACTTTTTTAAAGCATTTAAGCACTAGGCCTTATGCCCCTAAATGTGTAGGGGACGTTCGAATTTATTTTTGAAGCTTTTTTTGCGCTCAACGTCTTTGTTACAGCATCATTTCTAATGATAAATAGCTAGTATTTTGAAGGCTTCGAAAAAGATAACATACTAAAATTGTTTTTCATTAAGTACTTAAAGCCACTTAATACTAATTATTTTAAACTAAACTGTACTTATGTATGAATGTTCGTCATTAGAAAAAATGAATGATTTTTACTACGTAAATAGCGTTTAAGCATCGACATTTTTAAGAAAAGATTACTATGTCGAATAGTATTGCCACAATAATAAACTAAAACGCTTAAAAATTTATACAAATATACAAACGTTTTTTGGTCATTTTATTTTCTATAGTTAAAAAAACTGTTTTTTGATTTTTTTATTCCGACAAATTACAAATTTTGTAGAAAACCATTTAAGTTTTAAATATTTTGTTAAATTTAAGGTCAAACTTCTCGTTAATGTTAAATGTAATTATCATTCATTTACTAGACATTAAAATAGTGTTAGATTTAATTTAATTAATAATTTGTCAATATACATGTGATAACACTATAAAATAATAAATATATTAAGTAAAATTAAAACTATATTAAAAATATTATTAATTTAAAAAACTAAAAAATATTAGAAATATTAAACTCAAAGCCACAAAAAAATTAATGAAAAGTCGCGGATACGTATTTCGGAAACAATGTTACCATTATCAACGCTAAACACATACTGACATAATGGTAACATTGTTTCCGAAATACGTATCCGCGACTTTTCATTAATTTTTTTGTGGCTTTGAGTTTAATATTTCTAATATTTTTTAGTTTTTTAAATTAATAATATTTTTAATATAGTTTTAATTTTACTTAATTAATTAGCCACAAGTGATCAATTTTTATTATAAATAAATATATTTATTAATGATTCAGATATTTAGATTGAATTTACTAATTATTTAAGTTATTCAATACTGTTAATTATAAAGTCTTTTGTATTTTTTTAGTAATATAATTTATGTTATCATTCATTTCAATCGCGAATGAAAGATTGTCAATTAAATAATGAATTCATACCATACGTTTGGGTACTTAAACTTTGTTTTGAATTTAAATTACATTATTTTTTAAAAACATTTTTGAACGAAATAATTCCTATTGATTGATCAATAATGGAATTTACATGTTATTCATGATTGTGTTTAAAAATAGTAAGAAAAGTATTAAACTTTGGAAGTTGCAATGAAACAGCAATAAAATCATCTACAGACCTACGAAAAATCTATGTGCGAAAATAGATGCTAGTAAAAACCAAACAAACAAGTATCAGTTGATTGTTTTTTATTCGTGCATGATAATTTGATTCCTACACTCGGAGAATGATGTAGATGGTTTAACAAATAGTTATCTCATAATATATTTTCCAAAATTAATTAAATGTAAAAAGACTAATTTTAGGAAAAGATGTCGTTTGAAAATGAATACGTCTAAATAAGTCATGTATTGCTTAGACACACCAAGTCTATATGAATAACTATTAACATTCCAAATAATTTTTTTTAAATACTTATATTTATAGTTCCTTTATTGTAAGAAATAAACAATTCATTATCATGTATAAATTGTTTATAATTAAGGTCATTGTAATTTCTATACAAGTAATAAGTCAATGGCTAAAGTTTTTTTAACTATATTTCCATTAGAATAAAATTAATATTACAAAACATTTCTATTCTTATGAATTTATTTTTTATGTTTAATAAACGAATAATTAAAAAATCAAGTATGCAATTAGTTTTTTACTGGATACAACGTACAAAAATATTTATACACTGAGTTTTGTACCTAGTAATGCACGTTGTCAACTGTGTTTATTTTTTATGTTGTAGTTATGTAAAATAAATATTGTACTTTTTATACGTTTTGGTAAATAAAATATGAGTAAAGATAATTTTGTTTTCTAACTTAGAGATTATTAGTTATTTGGACGTGTTTCCAACGATATTTTTGTGTTCAAATAAAGTAACTAAAGATTTAGCTATTGTTATCTTTTTTTACATAATTTCAATAAATGAGCCATCTTTTTTTTAGTTTTGCTTTCTGGTCGAAAATAGATTCAGACGGGCACACCACAGAGTTGGTCGACTATTTTTGATTCAGCCCTTCAAATACGACACGTTGTGTTAAGAGTTGCCAAAACATATTCAGTGACCAAGAAAATAATATTAAAGACAAAATGTGTCCTTATCGTTCTAAAAAGCAAAACTCATTTAAAACATAAATTTATTTTAGTATAATTTATTAAGGAGAAATTAAGATATCCTTTAAATTTTGATTTCAAAAACTATTCTTCTAAAAACTATTCAAATTATTCTTCTAGTTATTATTTAAAGAATACATACGTTTCCATTCTATTATCGAAATTGTCTGCCAATGTGAATTTGTTTGTTCTACCATATGCACTAAGGTTTACATCAAATGAGTTTTCCAGATACATTTCTGAACATGCAGGAGGGTTATGTAATAAGAACTGCGAGGGTGATAAATAGTACCCTTTGTATAGTTTGCGAGTTTGGATGGAATCCAAAATCTTGCTGAGCGTATAATGTTATAGTAAGGTAGTTTATTCGGTAAGAATATTCCGTGAGTTGTATGAGTTCGCCTAAACAATATTACAAACTTTGTTAAAATAACTTCCACAAATTATCACAAGTATACATTGATGAACTATTAGGTAAACATTGTGATTAGTGAATCATAACTATGCACAATCTTTAAATTCTAAAAAAAGTTAATATATTATTACCTTATACACTATATGTTATAATTGAATCAGAATATTTTACAATAAGTATGTTTTTTATTGTTAAACCTCGTGTAAAATAAAAAAAAAATAATATGTTTTAGACATTACTTTAATTTTTCATTAATTGAATACATTCATTATTTATTTAAAACATTACTACTTTTACGTGAAATGAAAATTCATTTATAAAAACCATTATAAAAAACCTCAATAGAACTACTGTTGTTCAAACACTGAAAATAAAACCAATGATCCAACTGAAGTTTTTGTTTGCTTAATTGAATTGTGGATATTTTGTTATATTAAATTTATGATGATATTCTTATCATAAATGTTTATTTTTTACATTTTTTCTTCAATAATACTCGATGCGATGATACTTTTAAAAGAACTACTGTAACACTATCTATATTTTGAATATTTTATCTTGTTGTACTGTTAGCAAAAAGCATTTCAAAACGAATGTAAACGCTTTATTTAGCAATATTGTTTGTGCATTAAATTATAGTAATAATAATATCTCATAAGAAGTAAGATTTTCATTGGATATATTTTTTATATATGTATATCGAGATAATGTTATGTAACAATTTGGTAAGCATTGCGTGAAGGAATTAATACACTACGCACGAAGGTGGTTTTTGAATTTACAGTTGTGGTCAGTGCGTGCATACAGTTTAAATACAACTATACTTACAATACACACACAATTTAAAATAATTAATTGCTGTGCTCTGGATATTAAATGTTATTTACTGCATGTATAGACAATGTTGGAAAGTTTCATGGTGACTAAAATTAAACAAATTTATTCTCTCATGGTGTCTTCGTAAAATTATTAAAAACGTCAACTTCAATATTTATTTATTTTCAATTAGAGTTTTAAATATTTAACGCCTCCTTGTACTTCTTAATGTACGAAATTTTGTGACACATTTCCATTAAAAACAAATTTAAAACATAAATACACAAAGTTTATACGTTTTAAAACGTTTTTGATAATTATATAATCAACAATTGATGTTTAGCTAATATTGTTTAGTTGATATTTTCCTGGTGAATTTCCAAATAATTTTGTTGGTAATTTTTTTTATTAATGTAGATATTTTTTATTTGTTGGTCGCTTATGAAAAATTAACACTGACACTTGAGATTAAGAATAATGAAATGTGCAGTCTGTCTCAGTGAATTAGTATTATGTACTTAGGTTTGTCTTTAATTGACTTTAGAAGTTTTAAAACTACCGTATTTATTTGTTAAAAGACCATGTGCCTGCCGATGTTTGTAAACAATTATCTATTTCTTTTTTTTTTAATAATCATTTTTAATGATTATGTGGTTAAAGTAATATTATTAAAAATAAATACACTTTATTAGGAGTTTTCTTATATGGAGTAATGTCTATAGAAGTCTAACCTAAAGTAATAAAATATACATTATTATGGTTTACGAGCTACTTATATTTCTTTTGATAAAATAAATATATCGTAGTAATGAGCGTTATTGAAAACACTTTAAATAGTAAGTAGATACAAACATTTACTTGCCTGCGTCTATATGTTTTAGCTGATCGAATTCGATTTAAGTCAATAACCGTCATATACATTACGCTGAGTAAATATCGATAGCTGCTATAGTGTTATCTTATTTGTTGAAAAAATTCACAATAATTCGTTTGGTTGTACTTGGACCTTTATACTGAGCCGATAGATAACACATTTTGTACCAAATTTTGATAGACTTCTGATTGTAAACAATAAAAAACAAATTTAGTGTAATGTTTTATCTCAATTAATTAGTTTAGTCTTATTCTTTCACGACATTATTTTAATTAAGAAGTTTTAGTTTTACTTGCATTAAAACTATCTCAACTTGCTTTATTTGACCCACTTATCCTTACTAGTTACTTATTATATTACATGCTGTCGACATTAGTTCGCCCCGCTGCGATGATATTTTCATTTGATGTCGGACGTTTTTGATTTAAAAATATATTATTCTGATAGCTATCATCACTCCTAGCGCGTTGACATGCATTGACCTTTTTTGTTAATGTTTTAACGAACCATTTATGTTTCAGCGGACAAGCCGTACACGGCGCCAGACCAACAGCAAGGACGGCATTCTACGGACACCAAACCGGTAAACTTTGCCGCAGCGGCCGGTAGACGTGCCGGTGGAAACAGCGGTGGACACAACGGCGGCAGTGGCAATGGGAATGGTTACCATCACCCTCCGTACCAACACCAGCAACCTCATCGAGTCGGAGGTAGTAACCACGCGATCTCCAACACAGGAGGCCAATTAAATGCGACTTCCACCACCGTTACCTTTAACGAGGGTAAGTGGTCTTTATATAATCATTTTTGAAACGTTTCCATATAACTTTTATGGAATGCCTAGTTAAGAGCTTTTAAGGTTTGATTTCATTCGATGTTTTTGTATTTGTAAATTTTTCGTAGGCCTTCTATGATGAAAATCGGAATCAACAAATATTATATTCAAACTATTTTGACTCGGACAAAAGTCATTGTCCTCCATTAATTATTTTAAAAATAAATCTATCCTTTTCAGTATAATTATAATCTACATCAAAACATCGTGTATTACACGTGTAAATAAGCAGTTATTTTAAGATTGCGCCAAAGACTGAGTCTTATCCAGGAACGTCATATTGAATTAATCACATTCGTCACGCATCCCATGTCTGTGTGATTTTTTTTTTTCATGTAGTCGCACTTCGTTTAGCCGAAAGTCAATTGATATTCTCTAGTGAAAAGTATTTTCTTTTTAATCGAATTGAACCTAAAACGCCATTAAGTATAATTTTAACATCTCAAGCTTATTAATATGAAGGTATTGCAGTAATATGAATTTAGTTTTTATTAATTTACATTTGTTAAAACGTGAAAGTAAACAATTTATGTTTACACGTCTTAATAGTGAGTTGACGTTAAAATGTGATTATTTGATTAAAATACTCTTGGCACAGTTTGACGCTGTTGTTGATTTTTACACTCGACTTTTTTCGACGCCGTCCACATTATACGTGTAGCTAGTAACCATTAGAATGTTTTCCCTATTGTGCGACCCTTCAGCAGCCACTTAAGTAAACCCGTTTACACTTAATGCGCCCGCATTTGACGAAATCCGATATTAAAAGCCCTAAATCATCAAACCCTTAGAAATTACGACTTACTATTGTTTTCGTGATCTATAAACCCTTTAGTGTAATAACAGCAAACACTCAGTGTTCATTGTGTTGTTTGCATCGAGTTTAACACCCACTATAATATTACCAGTGAGCAATAAAAAAAGTTTTCTTTTTTTGACACAATAAAAGAAATAACTGCGTAAACTTACACTCGGGTATTAAATTTAAACGTTTCATCTAATACTTTCTTAAAGAGAAGCTGTACTTTTCAAGTCTCGACTGTTTTTTGTGAGATAACTAGGCTTTTCAGAATAAAACAATTATTGAATTATCTTTTTAAAAAATAATTCGTACTAATTCAGACGAACACGTGGAGTTATTTTTATAAAAATCAAGGTTCAGTGAAAACGGAACATGTCTATAATAAAATGAAGTATAATTCAATTTAAACTAGTGCAAATATTAGGAATTTATTCTTTGCAGAAAATGTACAATATGTATTGTTCTTAAACATACTGTAGAAGAGAAATATTTTTGGAATGAATTATCAAGAATAAAGACGTAAATGTTGTTATTATTGTTTGTAAAAAAAAATTAGGCCATTGAAAATATTTGTCATTTCATTTTATATTCTTGGATTAAAATGTCAATTACTCGGAATAACTCTAATGCAACAGTTTTGTCAATGTCGTTTTAAACCTTAATGATAGTTAGCGTTTTCTTGTGAGTAAAGTGACGTACATAGTATATATAGTTATATATTTAGTTCTGCAGGAGTGCGGACATTGAAATGAAATGTTTATATGTATTCAAACCCTTTGAACTAACAGTGATGAATAATTACATGTTTCAGTAACGAGCAGACAAAATTACGAATGTAATATGATGTTTCGGTCTGCAAGGAAACTACAGTCTTGATTAAGAATTTTGTTTGACTTAACATTTTCTTTCAACATTTTCATCTGTGTCTTTAACGTCTTAGAAGTTTTACTTTGATACGTCTCAACATCTGTAGTTTTTTAAATACAACTCAGGTTTCAAAAGTCAGTGATTTTGTTTCGAGTGTAACAAACTGTGTCAATTGTTATTTTGCCAGCTTTCAGGGTGATGTTTCGGCTTAAACGTCAAATGTTTCAAAGCTGATTCATATTTGATGTCCCTCGAGCAGAATTATTCGGATTATTATATCCATTACATTATGACTGAAGTTCGTTATATAGCCACAACTATATAGTTGTGTTTTACAATTTCAGTTGTGTATTCAAGAGCAAAGATTCTACTGACTTGCACGATGAACACTAGCAATAAATTAAAAAAAAAAAATTGATGAGATAATACTAAACTATATATACAACATTAGAATATCCGTGGGTTTCTTTAAAAGAGTTGTAACGTATTCGATATAGAGATAGACGAGTCCCGTATACTGTCTGACTTGATGAAAAATTAATCGCAGTTGCCTATCAATGTTGACTAATAAACAGCCAAAATAAATTATGGGTTTATAAAAATTTATTACAATATTCAATTTTTAATGAATTAATTTATTTACGTTTTAAAATAACACGTTATGCTTGCTTTTGTTCATTAAAAATAAAATTACAACATTTTTATTGAATAAAAAAAAAGGAGAATAGTGTGGTCATATGAACTTATGATATTTGGCCCAATTATTAAACACCGCAATTCCTCGGTAGATATATTTTTAGCTCACATAATAATAATAAATCGAAACTATAACGAGTTCATTGGAGTGTGAATAATTTTGAAAGGGTATTGCAACACGGCTGACGTCGTCAGATAAAGCATTTTTTATTATTTATTATATTTTCTGCGCGTTTAGGTTGATCGCATTATGATTATGTTGATATTGTGTGTTATTATATTATGTCGGACCACTTAAAGTATTTAAAATGTTATTGTGAGGCTCGTAGAAATACTTTTAATCGCCGTTTTATAGGTTACTGGCCTGATGCGCACGTTTTCGGTTTCACTATGTGTTGATCGTTTTCAATATTTCATTTAAGTATAAAATCGAACAGTTTGTTGATAGTTTGTGACTCGAATTTAATAATTGCGGTGCAACTATTGTAAAACAGCTTTACCGCGTGGGGGCTTGGCAATAGGAAATTTCGAAAAAGTCTTGTGTATTGTCATACGATCCATTATCAATGTCTACATATAAATTAAATTAAATATTACAATAATTGGCACGACGTGCGTGATATTCTAGTGGCATAATGTGTGTTGTCGTATTTAGACTTCAAACGGTTTGAATTATTCAAATATAATCATTGTATTAGAACTATTAAATGTTGCATCTATATGATAGAAGAATTAGATCTACAACAGGAAATTTAAGTGTTTTTTATCTGTTGAATAATTTTAAATGTCACAAAAAAAAAAAGAAAACCAGTAACTAATTCAAATTCTAAAAACAAGACAATTGTAAAAATAATTAGTCAAGTAGACAGTTCAAATAGATGTTACAGTCTTGACTTAGATTATACATAGTTAATAATGATACATGAATAACTAATTAAGAATTAAAACGTATGATCATAGTTGTTATAAAGCTTTAATAATTATTGCGTTCCGCATCAATTAGTTGGAGAAACGTGAAGATAATTGAGTGAATGTTTTTTAATGAGGAAATTTTGTAAAAAATATATTATTATGTTGTGGCTTCATTATTGTTTTAATTTGCGTCCCTATATTCGTGCATGATATAATTTCATTAAAAAATCAACTTGTAAGTTTAACCATATACACGAAAACTCATTTACCCAAATTACGTAATGTTTCTCGGTGCTATTAAACATCTAGTTAATTATATAGAATTATTAAAGTTAACGAATAGAGCACAATATAAATATTAAATTATACACTAAAAAATATATTCATCTTAGTATTTCTACAAAATATGATTCATCTTTAATTTTAATCAATTTATCTGTTAGAATATTCACTAAAATATATTGAATAGATTTAACGCTGAAAAGAGTAGACAATATGATTATATTCTCTTAAAAAAAAAAATGTATATGATGCTATAGTTTAATTTTAAATAAAATTATACGAGAGTGCAATGGGACTAGGAGCAATGTTCCCCAAAAAATATTTCAATTATTTTTTAAAAATGGTACTCTATTTAACACTTCCACTTTAACAGTAATATTGACATGGTTCCCTCAGAAATGACTTTTGGATCCGCGATTTATAGCTATAGAATAGCTACTTTATCAGGTACATCGTGTACTTTACAAATTATTACAATACTTGATTGGTATACATAACTAGATTTTTTTAAAGAAATTTAATAGACACAAAATAATGAATAATAAATATAGATATAGATATATCTTTACAAAATTCAAGGTTATATTTTCTATGTAAAAGCAATTATATTATTATACTTTACAAATTATTACAATAATTTATTGGTATACATAACTGGATTTTTTTAAAGAAATATAATAGACACAAAATAATGAATATTAAATATAGATATATATATCTTAAATATATCTTCACAAAATTTAAGGTTATATTTTCTATGCAAAAACAATTACATTATTATTTACAATAATTAATCTATTTATTCAAATCATTAATTTTCATCTAAATATTTTGAAGTGCTATATAATTCGTATTGAAATATTTATAAACCATTTTTAACTGTCCAAAAATATTTTGCGTACGCTGAAATAAAATCTGATAAAATTTGATTTAATTCTTAGCTTTACTCAAACAACACTTGGTACCTTACCTGAATTTTCGTGTATCATTATAATTAGTATAAGATCGCTATTATACTTGTTTTTTGTAGTAAATATTAATTAATTTTATATTTCCTTGGTCGAGTATAACGGTAAAAAATATATTATACTATAAAAAAGATATTCTACCACAGGTATATTTGTAAGATAAAGTAAAATAGTGTTTTGTAATTAACAAGTAACAAAAAATAATAATAAGATGTTGGGAGTCTTAATGTTTCTTATAAAATTTTCTCTTATGTTTTATTAAAATATTCTTTTTATAAGATAAAGAAACTTTACGTTAGAATTTAATTAAAATTTATATACCACATTATAGGTACTTAAGTAATTAAATATTTGTTTAATATTTATTTGAAATGTTATATATTTTGTTTAGAACATAAAGGATTTGTACGCAAATGTTTTCTTTTTTTGTAAAAAACTCATGCAATATTTGCTTGAGTGTTGTAGTCAAATAAATAATAAATATATAATGCAACACTAATAAAAACAAGTCTTAAAATAGATATATTAATTGTTTTTGAATATTAAAAAAAAGTTATTTTTAGATACTTAGAATTATTTTAATTTTTAACCAAGTCGAATTATAATTAATAGTAATGCTTATTATTATCGTTAAAAGTCTAATGCATTGTAATAAAACTTTTAATGTTTGCGTATAAAATTTTGTGTTTTGTTTAATACCATACGAACACATTAATAATATTATTTGTTAAATTTGTATTTCTCGTTTTATGTCAAATAAATTATTGTCATTAGGGTTAATAACATCCATCAATTTCGAGTCAATAAATCTATACTATAATATACTCATACTCTATGCTCTGTTAAAAAGTGTACCAGTTGCCAGTAACGAATGTTAATTTAATCAGTGAAGTGCGATAATACTATTAATATAACAGTCCATATTAACTTCATGGCATTTTATTTTTTGAATTAGGATATACTCGATACAAAGCACTTACGTTTTCATAAAAATATCTATTTTTTTTTCGTTGGAAATTTAATAAAAAAAATCTACCGGAGTACTAATATTTCAGGATTTATGATAAGTTTTACTAAGTTAACAGTGTTACTTCTAAGACTAAAAATATTAAAAATCTTTTGTCTACATTTTTCTTCTTATTATTTTTTAGCTTCGATGCGAAGCTGAGAAGATATTAATTTTACTATGATGAATTTTTTTTTTTATTATTATTTTTTTTTGTGTTTGTTCCACTTTTTTTTAGCGTTCACCGAACCGATTTGTTTCAACAATACGTCAAAAGATCACAAGACGTATTAAGTCGAAGACATTACCCTAAAAATTTGCAAATATTGCCCTCGTTTCCTATAAATGGTGGGGGGGAAATCTCCAAAAAAATTGGAAATTTAAAAATCACTAATTTTTGAAATTTTTTCATTTTTTTTTATTTAAAACTGACATCATTTTTTGAAAAATAGTTTAATAGAAATAATTTTTTTCTATTAGATACATTAAATATTTTATACATTCTCTATATAGAAAATTAAAGTCATTCATTTTTAATGTTTAAAGTGTTTATTGTCGAATTAGGTTGATATGATAATTAGTTTCAACTACAAAATTAAATAAATTTACCTTGTAGTATATTAATTTTTTAACTTTATGTGTGTGTGTCTATAATATTCCATTTTTTCAGTAACATGTTGTTATATAAATCATAAATCTAAAAAAAATAATTTTTAATTTTCTATTTAATAATGTGAATTTCAAACTGAAGTTGAGCTAAGAGTTATGGTAACAAATTCAACATTTTTTTTATTATTAACTTTCAAAAAATCTATTTTAAAAGTAATAACTACTTAATAATTTTTTTATAAATTCTCCGAATAAATTACAATACTAAATTATTAAATATCAATCTCATATTATATTTCATTGCTATAATAAATACGTATTTATATATTATACTTCTAAATCAATAAAACTACTAATCAGGAATAATAAAGGAAACAGGAATTCATTTTTCTTTTGGAATAGTCCACCAATTGTTAAAATTAAACACTATCTACAGATATGTATCGAAGCGTTTATTATGATAGTGATTTTAATCACTGTCAGATCTTTATACTTGTCCCAACTATGACACATCCATACTGTGCCGCAACTCTTCTGTGCTACCGTTTTTCATTTGTTTATTTATTTATTTTTTTGTGCAATTATAAAATTTAGCTAATTTATTTCACCATTTTCGTATTGGATGTTATTTGCTTCGACTGTTACTTTAAAATTGGTGCAAAATTTTTTGAGTAAACATTTTTTTTGGTCAAAAGGTCAATGTATGATAGTATGTATTAGTTAACTGATGATAAATAATTTAGTATTGACCAATAGTGTATTTTGATATTTTGTCAGTTACATTTTTCGACGTTAAACGATTTCGACGCAAGACGTGATTGTACTCCGTCTATCGTACACAATTTCGCTTTTATATATTTTTTTTCCCTTAATATAGGTCTAGTCATAGTGGTGTAAAGCTCCGGGAGCACTTTAGGACAATGACCCGGCCGGTCTTTTATTGATTTCACAATTGTTCTTCGTGCACTAGTGTATTTAAAATCACATGATTCAATACATTATTTTGTTTTGTCGATTGGGTATTGTTTACTAAGTTAAACACATATAGGAAACTAAGAAACTTGTTTATTTAAAAATTTCGTATATTTTTTACACGTCAACTAACTAAAAGTGGCGAATAGCTATTAACATGATAATATAAAGTTAAATTTTACATCAACTCTAAAAAGAACCAAATTGAACAATACTTTTAAGAATTCGATGACTTAAATTATTTATCAGCTGAGTTAAGAGAAAATAATAGCATCAATATTAACAATCAATAAAAATACAAAATTGTATGTGAAGAATAAAATTTCATTTTAGAAATCATCTTAGATTACATATTTAGAGACGGTTTCATTTTTTGAAAAATTCAAAGTGTTCGAATTAGAACAGACACAAGAAAATGTTTGAATAGAATCGCGGTAGTACAACAACGGTTCTACTTTTTTTTTATTTATATTCTAACAGTTTATTAACCTCAAACTGAACTATCGACTATTTAGTATTTAGGTTACTTTTCTAATGGTTTTGAATACCGTACCGTAGTTTAAATGTAAATTATTATATATATTTTGGCACATCTAAAGAAAACTGGACTATATGACATTTTCATCTGCCAAAAGCTCGTTAAGACGATCACGGCTTCGAGTTGATTTGTCATAACCGCTTCATAGTCTGTCATAATGGTCCAGAAAATGTTTCGATAAATCATCAAAATCCTGTTTTATAATTTTTATTTTATTTGTGGTTTCATTTGTCAAGTTAATGTAAACATGAATTGTACACAAAAGAACTGGGTAAACATTACCTTTACTTTAAGGTTATTTGGAATTAGTTTGTTCGTCGAGTTGGCGTGCAGACAGAAATTTAAATTGCTTTACTTTTTTTTCATCTGAGTAAATCATTTTTATTGTTACTTTTGTATTTCAGCGATTGCGTAATTATTTACATTTTACATTGGTGTGAATCATTAATATGAACAATTTAAGTGTAGGTGTAGTCACGTTAATATTATTAATATTATGTGCAATAATTTAAGCCATAACTTAAATTTATTCGTTTTTAATTATTTTGTCAAGCATTTCACCAGAATACCTCTTGATTTTAGAACGAGTTAACAATTTTAATGACTAAGATTTTCGACAGTCAATAGCGATTTAAATTTGTCCGAAAATAAAAATGTAGAGCTAATTATAGAGTTAATTTTCAATTCATTAAAAAATAGTCCTCTTAATGATATTATTAATTCAATTTTTTTTTCTGAGCAATGAAATACTGATTTTATTTAAATTTAATTTTGTGCGTCGTGAATGTTTCTACGAAAACATTTAAAAATGTTTGTTGAGACTGCTTATAGGTTTTCTACGATGAACTTAATTTTCACACAATGCGTGTCACTAAATAATAATAGAAACCCGTTGACACATTTTTGTATTTCCCCAGAGAAATGTCATCGGTGATTCTCGCTACCATATCGCTATTAGAACAAGAAACGTTCAACAGTAAAAGTATTAATTAGCCGGATTGATTGAAAGGCTATCTAAAACGATACTGTTAGTGTAAAATGTATTATTTAAAGCAACTTGAATCAAGTGTTTGGAACAAACCTACAATATTAACCTTTGTAATATTTTATCGTTGCTATATTATAAGTATGAAGAGTACAATTTAACCCAAAATTGAATGATGAAATATTGTTTATAAGTTTTCGCTTGTTATACAACAACTATTGGACTTGTATTTCGGAAGTTATTAAAATTTTTTAGTGATAGCTGCAGGTGAGACGCGATTTTTTGTCCGTTCTCTTCCTCCCGCCTGTGTATAAAAATGTCAATAACTTCGAATAACTAATTCAAAAGTGGTTATTGACTTGTCATTTTTTTTTAAAATTAGATCATCATCTATTACCTAACACATACCGAATAAAAAGTTTTCAATATTAATTTTATTTTTTCGATTAATTAAGTAGGACATAATAAATTAATTACTCTGTATGTGTATATAAATGTATATGTACTTAATTAATACCTGGCTTATTGATTTTGATTAGTTTATTGTTACAAATATCTTGATACATTGAATTAAATAATTTCGCAAATTAAAAGTTATCTTGTTTTGATTTATAGACGAGTACACGAAGATTACAACACCTAGACAGGACGTGTTATTCAAAAAAGGTTATCTGGGAAGACGTAAAAACACTTTAGTGCCAGTAATTAATGAGGTTATGAACGAAAACGAAGGTTAGTATTTAAAATTTTGAAAACTCAATTGATTTCAATCGTAAAAAGTTATCAGTTTATATTATTTAATGTGTTACCTAAATTTATTGCAGATATTCTAACCCCAGAAGCCATGGGTCAAGTGGATGAAATGTGTCCGCCCGGCGATTACATCGATCCTTCTGCTCTGTATTTCATTAACGGTGGGTCTTAAAAATTAAGATTCTATAATTAGATGTATCTACTTCGTGATTTACTTATTGTATTATTATCAAAATATAGATAAGTTAAAATTGTTCAGCTTTGTCTTTATCCTTATATAGAGATAATCACGTGTCTGGCATGCTTTTTCATACGTTTTACCTTATAATCCTTAAATTCTGAATACAAATAATTGTACTAGTTACATTAAATTAATTTATCTTTATTGAGGTACTAAGGATAGTAATAAATGAGTTAATAAGTTAAACTTAATTTTAATGAACTTTTTAGATATTTAGATTTTACCTAATGGTTAATGATTTTTCAGAATTATTCGAGAGAAAGAAAAGAATACACTATTTTTGTATAGCTAACAATTGAAATAGGATTTTAAAACTACAATATTTCAAGAAAAAATTATTTATTCCAAAAACTCTTAAAATATATATCACATTGTAAATATGTATTTCTAATATATGGAGTGTTCAGTAATTAAGGAAACGGATTTCTATTGTTCTTATTGTTTGTAACAATTGACTTGTTGTTTTACTTAGTTTACTAATTATATATATATTAAATTGTCGAGACACATGGTTTTGTCATTGAGATAACTAAAAAACGTAATTTCTACTAGTTTACATAAAAAAAAACTGCTTTGGAAGATACAATAACAAAATTATGCCACACATTTTTTTTATTTATAAAAAATTATGATTTATTGTGTAAAATAAATTTTAGATAAGAAATATTTAGCCCCCTAAAAAATGTTATCAGCCTATAAATATGATATTTTTGCAAACTTACAAACACTTATATTAACTTAATTTAACATACTGATTTAATGAAATTTTTTGTCAATTTACTTTTACCTAATTTATCAAAACAGGTAACTGATAACATTAACTATTAACTAGTTAACTTATTTTAATTAACTAAAAATAGAGATAAAGTAGACCATTAACTTACATAACCTTGACAGTAACCGATAAAGAGTTCAAAAACTCAAATTCTAAATAAAAAAATAATTGAATTAAGGCTTAAGAAAAATATGAGAATTAATTTTTTAAACAAATATATAAAAAGTGCATATAACCTATTATGTAAAATAATTAGATAGCTTAATTTAAAATTTATATTTTTTGTTAAAAAAAAATGTATATTTATATACTTATAGGTAGTGGATATGAAGTTTATGACCCCTACACTGGTAACATTACTGTGTTAATGGGTCCACCTCCTGGACCTTATCCTCCGGCTGGTCATCCAATGATGGCTGCTATGCCGTACCAAACAATGCCACTTCAACCTGTTGAATGGTTTAATCCGACCAATTTACCACATCCGGGTAGCGAACCATGGACTCCAAGCCTATATCAATCTTATAGACACAGCAAAAAGCACATGTCTGCAGATGCCCAACAAGTAAAAAATTACCTTAAATCTCTAAAATTTTGAAAAACAAACCATTTTTAACTTTGATTATAATCGTAGTATAAGAATAGTATACAGGGTGTTCCACGAGATTTTGATTAATTCATATACTTTTCTTATAGCCATTTATCAAAATCTCGTGCGATACTGTATAAGTATATAAAAAATCATCATATAATTATTAAATATTACCACAGGGTAAGGTTATAAATTTTTAAATTTAAAATTTAGTAACAAAAACTAAAAATATTTGATTAGTATTATGAAATTATATATATATATGTGTGTATTTTTAATTGTACTAAAATATTTATAGAACAATTCCTGGGTAATTTTAAGTACCATAAAATTATTTTTAATTACTGTATCAACAAATAATGTATATAAGTCATATGTTGTAACTCTTTATGTAGCACACAAGTATTATTTTGTTTGTTTTTAAAAAATGTACTACATTATTAAGTATTGGGATCCGGGCTTGTTATATAAGATGGTTATTTTAATTGTGTTAATTTTGATGTGCCAACTTAATTTTTTGACATCTGTAATACAATTATAATTATGATAACCTATTTAATTTTTAAACCAACGTGTTTTAGAACGGTAGTGCTCAAAGTTCGGAAGCTGATGGCAGTGTCCATGAACTCGGATCTGATGACCAACAGACCTTGTACCAAACACCACAGCCATACTTTTACCCAAGTTACATGTTTGGTGCTCCAATGTACAATTATAACGGTAAGTGGTTAAAATTTGTAAATTATAGAATATATAGTCATACAAATAATAATCCATAAAAAGAATAATTAGAAGACGTAGTGATTTAAATTTTCATTTAAATAAGTTTCTTTGTTATAATACTAGTATTTATTACACTATTTTATTATTGTATGAATATCAGATTAGTTTTTTTAAATCTTTCTTTCGATTTTTTTAGAGTAATTATTATATATTTATTGAAACTTTAAACATAAAGTACAACCATATCCGAGCTTAATTAAAATTCAAAAGCTGTTGAAATGTGGCAAAACAGTTAATAATTCAATGTTGATTTGATTTTGACGTTTATGCTTTGTGTTCACATTCTGATAATTGCATTGACTTCTCAGGAGATTGCCAAACATTCTAATTGTTTTAAATTAACTTTGGCTCGTATGGCTAGACGACATTCTTGTATCGCCTGACTAAATCTCGACACAATTAGGACATAGGGACAGAACAGCCTGTAAATCATTAGTAAAAGGACCACCTTTAAAAATGAATCTCCTAAATTACAGAGAAGTATATTTTTTTTAATCTATTTCCTGTGTAATCCATTTGCCAGGTCTACCGTTCCGGCTGTTCCCTCTCGAGTTAATATTTTTGGATTTAAAAGAGATTCTTTACGTGACGCATTGTTCGTCACCTCGTACGTTTTGGAAGTTTTCCAAAAAACATATTTTCGATCACTATTTTTGTAACTCTTAGATTTTTTCCTCTGTGACGGTTAATGAATTAACAAACGACGGCATGGCAGTAATATAAAGGAGGAATAATTGACGACTTACTCAAATTGCTTTTGAACATCTTAATCTCCTGACACGTTACTTAGCGTTACATAATATAAATAAAATCTGTAAAAAAATATTGTAGAGCAATTGTCCTATTATACATTTTATAAATAAATGTGTCGCTCTGAAAGTGTTAAATAATTTTTTAATTTCTTTATTATGGTTAATTACTTCATACTTAGTAAACCTAGTTTAAGATAGTTAAAGTAAACGGATTTTAAAATATTTTAGTATTACTAGGAAGAAGTAAAGATCAATTAATCAATTAAATACTGTAATTGATTAATAATCAATAATTCATTATTATTAATGTTCATAATCAATCTTCCATTGACTTGCGTTTTAGAGAGGTAGCTCAAGAGAGCTTAATACTTCTAAAAGAAGTTGAATACTTTCAAAAAATTTAAGAATACAATGTTAGGAAGTAAAATAATGTCATCTATTGTTAAACTTTTTTTTTTACCACCCCGTTCCAAAATTTGATATAGATGTTTGCTTGTTCATCTAATATTGATTTAAATGTTAAAAGAAATTAGCCAATGAAGTTTTAATTATGTTACAAATATTAATTTTTGTCATTGAAACTATAAATTATTAGCTATAAATTTTCAATTTTTAATAACAATGTTATTTGTTTATATAGGTGTTAGTATCCAAGTGCCTCTTCCACAATCACCTCCTTCTCCATCGTTGAGCTACGATTACACTAATGGTAAACGACGAAAGAAAAAGAAGCGCAGAAAGCGAGGAGGCGTAAGTTATTTATTTTTATTAATTATTTCGAATAAACTCTTTGAGCATTATGTTTAAACATTTTTAATTTTCATTCTTGTTTTGAATTTTTGAGTGGTTAAATTATATTGTAATGTAATGTAAAAAATTAAATGTCAAAATATACATGTGCTTTTTAAATGATAAATACCGTTATCTTCAAGCATGATGCTAATTTAACCATAGGTGATTAAAGTTAAATAACAATTTAAAATGTGATATGCGTAGTGTGAAAATATCTTTCAGCTGACATTTTGAAAGGAATGAAAAAAAAAAAACTAAGAAGCCTAGCATAGTTAGAATGTTTTTGATAAAGGAAAATATTTATAGTAAAAAGGTCAACAAATGCTGTATTAAAATAAAAATGACGTTCTCATTGATTATTACTATCCACTGTGGAATTTTTTTTTTATTGATACATAAGTGGTTGATAATGCACATAAAAAATAAAATTCATTTTTTTATATATTGATTTACATATTTTAAACGTAACTTATTTTTTTCTAGGTTTCTGAGGAGTATTCTGACTCTAGTTCAGAAGAACAAAAGAGTCAGTCTGGCGCTAGTAGTGATTTAATTCTAGATTCGGAGAAAACATCTGATTCTGGTGTATTAACTAATAATAGTGGTGGTTCGACTCCGGTTAACGTCATTCCCGTCCAGTTATCCCATAATGCACCTGCTTTCCACATGGACTGTCCTCAACCGTTTGAAATTATCCATGGGACACCTATATTGGTTCATCATCATCCAGATCACATGGCTGCATTTTATCAACCAATAACACAATATACAGATCACTTAGCATCAATTGAATATGAAGTTATACCAGAAGAACAACTACCCGCTGAAGTATCAACTGATGATCGACCAGATGGTGAACCTACTGCAGGATATTCGGCTGAAAACTCAGACTCCGGAATAAGTTCACCCAATAGTGAAGTAATGGTCAAAGAATCAACAGAGGAAAAACAATCAAAATCTCAGACCACAAACAGCGTAAACGGTCAAACAACTTCTAAAAGAAATAGAAACAAAAAAAGTAAACAAAGAGGTGGAGGAGACAAATCTATTGTGGTAGTAGTTGAATCTATTACTAAGACTAAAAATAAAGAAATTCAAAAATCCCATCACGAAACAAGTAATAATAGTGGAGGCAACAAAAAATCATCAAAAATCGCCAAAGAACCACCAATTATTAAAAAGTTAAATGCTAGAAAGTTTAAATGTAAAACAGAAAAAGATAATGATAGTAATGGTAAGTGTTCTTCTGAAAAAAAACATGTGACAAGAACTGCGATTGAAACTGTGTCTGATATAACGACACAAATAGATCAACTTGTGATAAATCCTATAGATGACGAAGAATTTTGCTCGCTGGAATGTACTCCTAGATCTATCGCGGACGGTGGACGTTTCCCCTTTACTAAAACGCATTCGGTCGACTCTTGTGACTCTGTCGAAGAAGAGACTTTTGCCACGGCTGTGAATACAGGAAATTCGGACACTGAAAACGAGGTAGGCTGCAGGCAAGATGATTCAGCACCAATAATGGTCAAGACTGATAATGATCCTGAAGTGACATTGACACGAGCTATCTTGCCTGGACCCATTACCGAAGCCGTAACTAAATGGCTTAATGATCAAGGTGGACTGGTGTTGGCATCTACAACATGCCTTCAGGATGATGACACGGAGGTGACGACTGATGACGAATGTGACAGTGAGTATGACGACTTCGAAGAACAGCCAATCAGTCCAAAAAACATGAAAAGCAACCCTTGTCCCCTTGCGCCGTCTCATAGTAATGAAGAGGAGGGTTCAAGGGTTGCTTGTACAACTGTTGCTGGAGGACCGGGACAAAAAAAACAGTCCGATAGCAGTTTATTGCCCAGTGGCATTTGTTGTCTGACTCAATAAGACAAAAGACAGTCCTATTCGTACTATTTAAATCATTGTCATCATCATCACAAAAATATTTACTATAAGTATTTTGTCTAAGATCCCATCTGTACAAATATATAATAAGATAGCACAAAAAAAAATTATCAAAATTAAGTCAATTGGTAAACTTATTATCTTTATCATAAGGTTGTAAACTACACGGTTCCTCGGCAAAATTGAAAACAACAAATTTATTAATATTTACTATTCTAATATCTATACGAATATTTTATAGCCTCTTTTCAGCCTATCATATAATCATAAAATTATATATTTTAAGTATTCAACTATTAAATACTTTTTATTATATTATAGTTATATTTATATAAATATAAAACCATCAAAAATGAAGGAAAATCAAAAATGATACTGGTGATTTTTGAATCGCGTTAATATGGTACAATGTTTTTCTTTCATTTTTATTAACCATTAAAAATATGGTGTAATTTTGAGACTGCTTTTTTGGATCTTCCCGACGGGAGTAATATGTTGATAAGTTCATTATAAAATTTGTTAATCGTTATCGTTAAACATTAAATATAATATTTTTGTCGTAAACAATCACGTTTTGGTATAACATAAACAAAATTATTAAAACTATAATGATTTATTGTTGTCATTTTATTAAATTTTAATGTGTGAATTAGTAGGTACCCTGGCCCAGAACTCTAAATTTTGATGAAACCATTATACATTTTGCTTGAAACCATATAGTCAGTTTACTATTATTATTATTTGTATAACTTAGTTTGCTTTGGTGTATTAAAATATTGCATTAATTGAAAAATAATTATTCAATATTTCTACTGTAGATTAGTAATTCATTAAAATCTGTTTTTTTTCGAGTGGTATCTAAATCGTTTCTGGCAAATCATTATATTTTTTTGTTTGTAAATATAAAAAAGTTCAAACTACAACAAAAATATTCATTATACATAATAACAACAAGGTTGTACGTTTTCTTTAAAGATATAAATTATTTATATATTTTTGAATTTGCTTTATTATATCAAATATTGTTAGTAATCGAATTAATGCTCAATTATTAGTTTCCTCATTATGATTTAATTTTTAGAATTAAACTCCCGATAAATTTTAATCACATTTTATGGTAAACCCTATCCTTAGATTTTATTTCTGTCCGGTTCATTGTATGTAGGCAATTAAGTTAATTTTTAACATTTAGTTCTTATATATTCTTAAAATTAACAATTAATGGCCTAAAAAGGAGGCTCTGTCTGAATTTGGTGCTTATATACTTAAAAAACAAAATCGAACAATTCAAATCTATTGTACCCAAGTATAATCTTCTAAAAATTGATTATTAATGTATTATACAAATTGAATAATACTTATTAATGTGTTACAAATTTTTTAGGTGATATTATATTGTTTTTTAAATAAAAAAACCTGAATAATAAAATGTTATGTTATTGAAAAATTTTAATTTGTAAAAAAATATTTTTAGTATCATAAAATGCATGTTTATGTTTTATTTTTAACAAAAAATCATTATTCATGTATCTTGATCATTTTAATGTAAAAGTTTTACTTCAATTAACAATTTAGTTAAAATTACAAATTAATTTAATAGAAAATACATTATAAATTTATATAAAAACTGTATGTGTTATTTATTACACAAAAACTAATCAAATTCAAATATTTCATATTCTGTTTATTGTTTAAAAAAATAGTTATATTTTTATAAATGAACATTCAATAATTTCGAAGTTTATCTACTAACTAATAGCTTTTATAAGTATGCTTCCCTCAGGTCCAACAAAGACTTACATTTATAGAGTTATAAAATCTGTTATATGTGTATTTATTAAATTGTGTTAAAATTGTATACATTTAAATTAACTCAGAAATTTATAATTTTTTCAAAATATACGTTTTTTCTTTTCTGAAATAAATAATAAATTTACTAGCATTTTTGAAAGAAAATAACCTATTATCATATTTAATCAACTTAAATATAATATTTACTATAATAAACAATAATATACATGATTTAACTTATGATTATATTTGATTGGTTATGATAAATAAATAAAAAATATCTATTTTCAAGTGTTAATAAATAATAAAATAAATAAATATCAATATTTTCCTTATATATTATTAAACTGTACAATCATTTTGTATATTATTTATTACAAATGACGAACAGATATGTCGTAAAATTAGTATATTGTTATTGATTTTGCACTTTTAAAATCATTAATAATATCACCATAACAATTACAGTATTAAATAAAAAATTGTACTACGTTTTTTGAATCTATATAAAATAGTCAAAACAGTACTAAATTTAATATCAACACTTTTATAAATCGGTTTGTTATGGTCAATCACTCTACAAGGGGAATAACTATCATGTAATGTAATGCAAGTTTAGGCTTTTGATAATAAGTGCCTTAGGTCATTCCTTTTATGAGAAACTAGAACATATATATTAAAGTATATTATGTTTTGATTTTGCTGTATGTCGCATTGCCATTTGTTTCTTGTTTAGAAAATTGTCATTAAAGTTTAAATTATTATTATATTATGTAAATGGTTGATATGCATGCTGATTTTATTTTATTGTTCCATAATTTGGAAGGAAAATATTTAATATTTATTAAATAAATAAATTAAAGTATATGTGTTTTTATTTTTCCCAAGTTCTTTTTCAAATCTCATTTTTATAGTTAAGTCTTTATAAGTTGCATACTTAGATCAAAATTCTACATGTCGTAGAATAACAATGGAAATAATATAACAAAAAAAATGTATTTTTCAGTTTAGCGTTTTTTAAAATAAAAGTTTTCATTCTTTATATGTAAATTATTTTTATAATTTATACATTATATTATAGTAATTACCATTCTTCGAGTTCAACTATTTCTATTTGAAGAAATTATATCCACTACAAATAATGCAGAAAGTAATATCTTAGTATTCATTATATCCTAGTAACATTTTATATACATAAAACTTATAATTTTAACTAAAATTTGAATAAACAAAATAATTATAGTGATAAGTTAGCTATACTTTTTTGAAAATTGTCATAAAATTTAACAATTAACGTTAACAGTAATATAAAAATTTGATGGAATAGTTCTAAACTTTAAAAAAATATTAATTTTTAAATCATTTAAATAAATTATGTAATTGAGGTTTTAAAGTTTTCCTTCTTAATATTAGTTTCAAAATAATGATAAAACAACAAAGTTAAGATTGAAATATTTTTTACCAAATCTAAGATGTTAAGATTATACATTATAGAGACTGACAGTCCTGATTTATTACCCTTGCGTATTCGTACAGAACGATAAATAATATTGAAATCATTGGTGTCAAATTTTTTAATGAGTCCCACTAAACATTTTTTATTGATGAACTTTTAGCTTCGATGTGAAGCTGAGAAGGTATTGGTTTTACTATGATGTGTTTTTTTTTTTTTTTTT